TTGTAGAGGATTGAGGAGAAATGAGAAAGTATGAAAGCCCAGTTCATTCTTGTTCTTTCTTTCTCATACCTTCAAATTCTGTGTGAGAGAGAATCTGACTGCTTAAGTTAGTGACCAATACAAAGCTTTCTCTCTCAGGTAAACTATTGAACCAGACCTTGTAATAGGCTACAGCTATTGGCTTGCCTGGAAGGTTCACTTTGGATCAGATGTCTGGCCTTAACTTAGTTGAGGTATCTATGGGCCAGTTGCAATGCGAGAAAATGCATACTATAAAACATGGTGACTTACATGTCTGTCTTCGTACAGAAGGAAACACTTCTTTCTTGGTCCCTCCACGAAAGTCCTAGAATTAAGTCAATGGTCCAGTTTGGATGATATGAACCAGTGACTGTGGTTAGGGTAATAGAAAACACTAAATAGCCAGATTTGAGCCATATGCTCACCCCTGGAGTGGAGCCAGCCTTATTTAAACCATGTCCTGATTGTGGTGGAAGGGTGTTTCTCCAGAAAAATTGGATTGCTCTTACTAGAAAGGTTGGAACAGCTTCCAGGTAAATAAAAATATACTGGAATATAATGGATGAAAGCATTTGTAGGCCTTTGGTCTTTAAAGGAGTAAGACTGTCTCTATGTAAAATAAGTATGATATAAAATCAGTGAATTAAAAACTGAAGCAGTCATGCTGTAAGGCTTTAATCTTTTATAATTTGTCTTGACTGTTAGTGTCCCTTGACTTAATAGCAGTGTCACCACCATGGACTGTGGGTGTTTCCTTTCAGATTACATCTCTTCCTTTATCGTACATTAAATTTTTGTTTGGTATGTTTTGTTCAACGGATTTAAGGGAGAATAAATACCTTTCATTTTTAGAACAGCTTGTGGTAGGATGTTTGGGAAGGGCATTTACTCTAAAGTATAAATTATTCATCACAGGAAGATGCTTTTGCAGACATGACAACAGACCACACACAGTGTTTGTTAGAGTTTTCTTAATGCTTGACATTATGCACAAAGAACATTAGAAATTGTATCTTTCATATTCTAATACAATTTAAAGTATTACACAGTTCTTGTAGGACAGGTTCACTTCTGAAATCTCTAATAGCATGTTTTTTAGATTGAATCAGTGGGATAGCATTGAGGGACAGGAAAATACTAAAATGTCCCCAGATTCTAAACTAGTTTCCTTAGGTTGAGGGCCATAGTTACCTAGCAGTAGAAGAGTTTGGCTAACATCAGATGAACCTATGATTCTGAAATGAATTTTCATTTAGAAAAAAGTAGGATCTGATAGAAAAATGTCTTTTTGTTGTGGTTTATTCTTTAAGTAATAGAAGTGAAATGGAACTACATAGAAAAGTATCTTTGTGTTGTGCTTTCCTTGATGCACAGTGATTGTTCAGTAACAGAATCTGAATAGTTGAAGAACAGGTAAAGATATGATTTTGGGGGGAAGTTGTGTAATGAAAATTCTTTTCCTGTTATTTGTAGGCACCTGTAGCCCTAATATAAACAAGAATTATTCTGACTTCTACATAAACCCAAGGCAACTTGGTTCATTGATAACTTCCAACGTGTTAGTTAGCATCACCCAGTATATAGTTAAGTATATTGGTGACATCAGCATAGTATTCTCTTCCTTCTCACAGTTGAAAGCATTTGACTACCTTTCTTGCCAGCCATTCACAATACAGTTTCCTGTCATTTTTAAGTATTTCACTGTAAATAGTGTGCCAAAAAGATACTTGAGGAACATCTGTGCATGGCAGAGAGAGGCTGACACAAATAAACAGGGGATACCTAGATAATTTTTTGATAAACAGGGAGCAGAGGAAGTATTTTTCAATTTAATTTTTAAATTATTTAGTCATATTGACTTTTCTTGGTATACAGTTCTTTGAATGTTATTACACTATAAATTGGTATATGATCATCATCATAATCAGAATACAGAACAGTTCTGTCACTACAAAAAACCCCATTGCCCTATCCCTTGGTAGTTATACCCTATTCTACCCCTAACCCTTGGCAGTAACTGATCTGTTCACCACTATAGTTTTGTCTTTTTGAAGATGTAGTATAAATGGAATCATACAGCGTGTAAAACTTTGAGACTGGCTTTTTTATTCAGCATAATGCCTTTTAGGTTCATCCATGTTGTGGTCTTTCCATTGTTGGATATGTGATTTGTGAATATTTTCCCCAAGTTTGTAGTTTGTCTTTTCAGTCCCCTAACAACAGTGTCTTCTGCAGTATAAAGGTTTGTAATTTTAATAAAGTCTAATTTATCAAATTCTTTCTTTTGTAGATCATATTTTTAATGTTATGTTAAGAACTCTGCCTGATTCCAAGTCATGAAGATTTTCTCCTATGTTTTCTGAAAGTTTTAAGTTTTACTTTTAGATCTGTAAACCATTTTTAGTTAATTTTGTATAAGTTGTACTCGCCCCTTAGGTCATGGTTAATTTCTTTTTTTAAATGTATTTTATTGATACGTTATTACAGTTGTGCCAGTTTTTCCCCCTTTGCCACCCTCCACCTGTTACGCCCACTCCCTCTGGCAGTCCTCCACCCCCTTTAGTTCATGTCCGTGGGTCATGCAAGTGAGTTCTTTGGCTACTCCATTTCCTACACTATTCTTAACATTCCCCTCTCTATTCTGTACCTACCAGTATGCTTCTTAATCCCTGCACCTTTTCCCCCTTCTCCCCTTTCCCCCCTTCCAACTGATAACCCTTCAGATGACCTCCATATCTTTGATTCTCTTTTTTGTTCTGCCTGTTTGCTTAATTTGTTTTTTAGATTCAGTTATTGATAGTCATGAATTTATTGCGATTTTAATATTCATAGTTTTGATCTTCTTTTTCCTAAATAAGTCCCTTTAATATTTCATATAATAATGCCTTCATGATGATGAACTCCTTTAGCTCTGTCTTGTCTGGAAAGCACTTTATTTATCTTTCAATTTTAAATGATTGCTTTGCTGGATAGAGTAATCTAGATTGTAGGCCCTTGCAAAGTATTCATCACTTTGAATACTTCTTGCCAGTCTGTTTTAGCCTGCAATGTTTCTTTTGAGAAATCAGCTGATAATTGTATAGGAACTCCTTTGTAGGTAACTCTACTTTCTCTTGCTGCTTTTAAGATTTTCTCTTTATCTTTAACCTTTGGCATTTTGATTATGATGTGTCTTGGTGTGGGCCTCTTTCTGTCCATCTTGTCTGGGACTCTCTGTGCTTCCTGAACTTGCATGTGTATTTCCTTCACCAAATCAGGGAAGTTTTCTTTCATTATTTCTTCAAATAACTTTTAATTTCTTGATCTTTCTCATCTCCTTCTGGAACCACGGCAATTTGAATGTCGGTACATTTGAAGTTGTCCCAGAGGCTCCTTAGCCTATCCTTATCTTTTTTGGATTATTTTTTCTTCTTGCCGTTCTGATTGGATGTTTTTTTTTCTCCCTTGTGTTCCAAATCGTTGATTTGATTCTCAGCTTCATTTGCTCCACTTTTGATTCCTTGTAACTTTTTCTTTTAATTTCACTTAATGTAACCTTCATTTCTCCCTGAATCTTTTTTTGTGCTGTTGGAGTACCCAGTGAGTTCCTTGAGAATCCTAATAACCAGTGTTTTGATCTCTGCATCTGATAGATTGCTTATCTCAATTTTGTTTAGTTCTTTTTCCGGAGTTTTGTTCTGTGTTCTACTTGGGCCATATTTTTTATCTTACCATTTTGGTTAACTCCCTATGTTTGTTTCTGTGTGTTAGGTAGAGCTACTTTGACTCCCTGTCTTAGTAGCGTGGCCTATTGTAGAAAAGCGCATCCATAAGTTGTAGGGGGCAGAGACTTACGTAATCACCGGGGCTTGGCCGGGGAGGGGGCACAACCTGTGACGTCGCTTTGTGGCTCTGTGTGGGAGAAGGCTCAGGAAAGGGACAGTGGCTGCTGCCTGGCCTCTGGAGTTTTGTCTGTGAGGAAGCTGTCTCCCGGCATTTGTCCTGATGTCACACACTTCAGGTTCTCCCCATATGCCACTGGTGCCCTTCTAGCTGCTCCCTCAGTGCTGGAGCCCAGAGGGAGTGAGTCTATATAAGTCCTAAGTCCACTGCAGGCCCTTTAGAAGGAGATGCCTAAGAATCCCTATCCCAATGCCCACTGGTTTTTACAGCCAGTGGACCTACCTTCCTGTCACTGTAACCCTGGGCTGGGTGGTCTTGTGTGAGGCTAGGATCCCTCATTCCCAAGGTATCCTTCCCGATTTTTATCTACCACACATGGGTGTGGAAACTGACTGTTCTGTGTCTGTGCTCCTCCTACTTGTCTGAATGAATGTGACTTCTTTTTCTTTGGTATTTGGACTTCCATATAGCTCGATTTTATGATGATTCTCGTTGATAGTTGTTTTGTAATTTAGTTGTAGTTTTCACTGTGGTTGTGTGAGGAGACAAGCTGTATGCTTCCATCTTGACTGGAAGTCAGCGTGACTGTCTCACAGACTTTTTTCTTTTTTTAATTTTTTATTGTCAACACTGTTACAGATATCTCCCATTTTACTCCCCTTGCCCACCTCCACCCAGCTCCCCTATTTATTTGTTTCAGCGTCTTTATACCATAATACAGATATTTCTCAAGGGTCTTTCCTTTTCCTTCCCTCCCCTCCCGTCCCCTCTCCTCTCTCTTTGCATGTGGATAACTAGTTGTCCCAAAACCGGTTAAAAAAAACCCTCTCTATTGAATTGCTTCACTAACTTTGTAAAAAATGAACTGACCATATTTGTATGGGTTTGTTTCTGGACTTTGTTTTTTATTGCATGAATCTGTGTGTCTCTCTCTTTCTTAATACCATACTGTCTTAATTATTGTTGTGCTAGAGTAAGTCTTAAGATCAATTAGTGTTTTTTTCCAATTTTATTCTTTAAAAAATTTTTAATTATTACAGTTTCTTTGCCTTTACATTTACAGTAGTACCATGGTACTCATCGTTAATTCATTCCAGAACTCATGATGAGTGCCAGAAACAACGAGCACTGAATGATGAAGCATTTTCTCTTGTGGGGCAGTATCATGACTTATACAAGTTCTAGCAAGTGTGACGAGTCCCAAGCAAGCACCGAATGCTGACACATTATTTTTGTCATCAAAATATGACGAGTACAGTGTTTGATGAGTTCTGAAGCTGACAAGTATCGAGGTATGACTGTAAATTTTAGAATCAGCTTGTCTATATTTAAAAGGCCTCCTAGGATTTTGATTGTAATTGCATTAACCCTGTAGATCAATTTGAGGAGAATAGACATCTGTAACTATGTCAAGTCTACAAAAGTTTTTAAAAGATCTCTGTCTTCACAGAGATGACATGTTGTATCCATGGTCCAAAAATAAGGATACTATAGACAAAGGAGCAACCAGGTGATAAGAAAGAGCTATGGAAATTAACATATAATAACTGAAATTTAAGTCAATACAATAGTCCTGGCTGGTGTGGCTCAGTGGATGGAGCACCAGCCTGCAAACCAAAAGGTCGCCGATTCTATTCCCAGTCAGGGGACATGCCTGGGTTGCGGGCTGTGTCCCGAGTTGGGGGTCTGTGAGAGGCAACCGATCGATGTCTCTCTCACATATCAATGCTTCTGTCCCTCTTTCTCCCTCCCTTCCCCTCTCTCTAAAAATAAAATCTTAAAATAAATAAATTTAGTACTTTAGATGGAAGATAAACTTAAGAAAATCTTCCTGAAAGTTGAACAAAAAGGAAAAGAGATAAAATGGCTTCTGGTCAAGATGGTGGCGTAGACATAATGGTTCGCCTCTTCACACAACCACAACAAAATTACATCTAAAATATAGAATAGCCATCGCTCAGAACCATCAGAAATCGAGATGAATGGAAGTCTGAAAACTATGGAATTAAAGAAACCACATCCATCCAGACTGGTAGGAGGGGCACAGACACAGAATGGGCTGGTCCCACACCCACGTATGGTGAATAAAAATTTGGGAGGGATATCAAGGAGTCCCATCCCACACCAGTTTCCCAGGCCAGGGTTCCAGTGCCAGGAAGATAAGTCCCCAAAATTTCTGGCTGCAAAAAAGCAGCAGGGATTTAGTTGGTTCTGGTGCCCCAAGAAGTTCCTCTTAAGGAACCCACACATGGACTCACCTACTCAGACTCACTCCCTTGGCTCCAGTGGCTTGAGGGGCACCAGTGGGATACAGAGGAAGGCTGAGGTGTCTGGCCTCAAGGCAAACAGAGGCCACTGTCCCTTTTCTGGGCCCTCCCCGCTCAGAGCCCATGCAGGCTGCTTTTCCATATGAATGGCTGGTCTTGGAACATATTTCACAACTTCCTAAATCCTCTCAAACTAGCAGCAGCTGCCCTCAGTGAGCCCCAGGCCCTGAACTAGCTGCCTAGATTCACAGCTTGGCTTCACCTGGAAATCTCCAAGTGTAGCACAAGTAGCAGCCATCTCAGATTGCTTTATAACTCAGGCAGTGTGGCCCTGTGCAAAACACAGGTCAGGGCAGATCTTGGCCTGCACCACATGGGAAACCGCAGGGCCAACTCACCCAGTGGACAGCCACAGACCAGGTTGGAGTACTACTACCCTGCCCCTGCACAGCTGATCCTCCATGGAGGGCAGAGGTTGGTGGTAAGTGGTCACAGCCAACCATTGCAGCTGACTGGAGTCCATGGTAGATCTTTCTCATTGATCTTCCAACAGCAACCAAGGCTAACTACAAGAGGAGGGTGTACCTCTAATACCCAGCTTGGGTGATGGGGAAGCCGTGCCACTGGATCCTGCAGGACACCTACTACATTAGGCCACACTGCCAAGATATGGAGTCAGAGCATCTCTACCTGATACATAGAAACAAACACAGGGAGGCTGCCAAAATGAGGAGACAAAAAGCATGACCCAAATGTAAGAACAGATCAAAATTCCTGAAAAAGAACTAAACAAAATGGAAACAAGCAATCTCTCAGATGCAGAGTTCAAAGCACTGGTTATAAGGATGCTCAAGGAAATTAGTGAGTACCTCAATAGCATAACAAAGATACAGTCAGAAACAAAAGATAGACTAATTGAAATAAAGAACAATTTACAGGGAAACAACAGTAGAGTGAGTGAAGCTGAGAACCAAATCAATGATTTGGAACATAAGGAAGCAAAAAACCATGCAGAACGTTAAGAAGAAGAAAAGAATACAAATAAACAAGGATAGTGTAGGCAAGCTGTGGAACAACTTTAAGCAATCCAACATTCAGATCATAGGTGTGCCAGAAGGAGAAGAGAAAGAGGAAGAAATTGGAGATCTATTTGACAAAATAATGAAAGAAAATTTGCCTAATTTAGTGAAGGAAATAGACATGCAAGTCCAAGAAGCACAGAGTCCCAAATAAGATGGAAGCAAAGAGGCCCACACCAAGACAAATGCCAAAGGTTAAAGATAAAGAGATGGCTGGGGGTGGGAGGGTGTGAGAGAATGGATGAAGAGGTGAGGGGATTAAGAAGTACAGTAGGTAGTTACAGAATAGCCATGGGGGTGTAAAGTACAGTTTAGGAAGCTAAAGAATTTAACATTTGTGACTGGCGGACATGAACAGGGGTGGGGGATTGCCTGAGGCAATCAGTGCTAGGTGGAGGGGTGCAAAGAAGGAATAATCAGGACAACTAATAGTATAATCAATAAAATATTTTTTAAAAGAGGGAAGAAGGAAAAAAGAACATGAGAGAAAGATTAAAACATTAAAGTATATAGTTAGGAGATCTATTATTAAATAATAAGCGTTTCAGAAAGTGAGAACAGAGAAATTAAGAGGCAAAGATGGTAAAGAATTTGTGCTAAAATTGAATGGAGGAGATAAATGTCCATTTTGGAAAAGTGAATTAAAAACACACATCGACACGCACAACTTTATAGAGACAGAAAGTAGAATGGAAGTTGCTAGGGGCTGTGGGGAGGGAGAAATGTGGAATTACTATTTAGAGGGTACAGATTCTCAGTTTAGGAAAACGAAAATTTGGAGACACGTGTTGGTGATGGTTGCACAATATGAATGTATTTAATGTCATTGAATTGTACACCTAAAAACAGGTAAAATGGCAAGTTTTATGTTATGTCAAAATTTTATATTAAGATCAAAATTTTATATTAAGAATAAGAGAGGAGACAACCACAGACGAAAGATTTCAAAAAGTTTTGAGCCCTGGCTGGTACAGATCAGTGGATTGAGCACTGGCCTGCAAACTGAAAGGTCGCTGGTTTGATTTGCGGTCAGGACATAGTCCTGGGTTGCGGGCCAGGTCCTTGGTTGGGGGCATGTGAGAGGCAGTGGATCCATGTTTCTCTCGCACATTGTTATTTCTCTCCTTTTTCTCCTTCCCTTCACTCTCTATAAAAATAAATAAATAAAATCTTTTTTTAAAAAGTTTCAAAAGCTAGAATGCACACACACACAAGGCAACTGCACAACTAAACAAAGTTCAAACCTAATTCTGCAATTGTTAAAGGAAAAAGAAAAGCAGGCTGATAAGTGCTGAAGAGCACCAAAATAATAATAATAATAATAATAATCCCCACAAAGGACTTGTGGGCACTGGTAACTCTGAATGAAGAAGTATGAGATGTGGCTAAAAAAAGCAGAGATTGACAATTTTTATGAGGAGTAAATTTAGCCAGATCTTCTGCCCCATTCTGTGCAGCTGAGCTATTCTGTTCTGGAAGAAGAGAGGAGGTATTAGCTGGACAAAATGTGCCATAAGCACAGGGACGGACAGTTCAGGTGAGGCACCATTCTGAAATGAGATTAGGTTGAAGTGTACAAACTAAATGACAAGAGCTCCCCCTGCTTCCTTCGTTCATTTAGTATAATAATAAACCTAAATGTTCTGCAGTTGGGGTCCACAGTGAAACCACTCAGCCAGTTTCATACTATAATGGACTCTGCTTGTTGTCAAGCTGTATAATTACATATAATGCCAAAACAGGCATTGGTGTACAAGTATCTCTATGTACCTCTCAAGACTTATTCTAGGACGGTAACAATTTTTTTAAGCTACAACCCACAGTAAGAAGTAATTTTATATATCATAACCTGGTATACACACGCTTGCATGCTCCATGTATGTGTGGGGGTGTGTGTGTGTATTTACAGGCCACTAAAGTAGGATTGTGGCCCTGGCCAGGTGGCTAAGGTGGTTGGAGCTTCATCTCGTACACCAAAAGCTTGATTTCGATCCCCAGTCAGGACACATACCTGTTGCAGATTTGATCCCCAGTTGAGGTGCATGTGGAAGGCGAATGATCAGTTTTTCTCTCTCTCTCTCCCCCTCCCTTTCTTTAAAATTAATGATAAAAAATATCCTCAGGTGAGGATTAAAAAAAAAAGGATTGTGACATCAGAGGTTAATTAGTCACTCATCCTCCCAACCCTGTTGACATTCCAGTAGCTTATTTGACCGTGGGTTTAGATTGATTTATTCTGTGAGTTCTCTGTAAATTATAGAAATCTCATTTAAAATTATTCAGATTCCTTAACTTCGTGGACATAAAAAGCTAATACAGATTTGCCCTGTTTTAAATTTTAGTGTATGCCTGATGTATTTCCTTATCTTTTTGTTTGCTTTCTTTTAATGCCTGGGTGTATTGGTTTAGTTTAAGTAACTTTAGTTTCCAGGACTATTCAAAAATCCATTGGAAGGAGGTAACGATAAGACACTACTCGGAAATTGTCTTACAGCTTGGGTTAGGACAGTCATTCATCACTTATCTAGTGGTCAGATTTCAAGCTCTTTCAACCATCCTAAAGTTATGAACCATTAGCAAGCAGGAAAAAGTTTCTGGAAAGAGAAAAATGGGAACGTACACATACTTATTAAATGCCTTCTAATGGAAGAGTTAAGGAAACAAATGTAGAGGGAATAGCACAAAGATTAGGATTCAAGTATTGATTTTTAAAGGTTTTTTTTTAGAGCTTTTTTAGGTTTACAGCAGAATTGAGAGGAAAGGACAGGGATTACCATATGTCACTTTCCTCCACACATATGCATGGCCTCTCGTCAGCATATCTCACCAGAGTGGTATATTGTTACAGTTCATATTTACACATCATTAATGCACATTAACACATCATAATTCCTAAAAATCCATAGTTGACCTTAGGGTTCATTTACATTTCGTGTTGTATATTTT